ACGCTGTTGGGCAGGCTGTTCTGCCGGCTGTCCGTGGTCACCTCGGCCCAGGTCACCTGCACGCCGGTCAGCGGCCGGTAAAGGTTGACCTTGGAGGTCTTCCAGGAGAAGTGGGCGGTGATGTTGGCGTCCCGCACGACGAAGGAGGCCGACAGGTTCTCGGGCTTGGCGGGAAGCTCCGCAGGGGTGGCGTCTGCGGCCCAGAGCGCGTGGACATGGCGGCGGGGGAGAGCGAAGGTGACCCCGCGGCCCTGGCCGCCACCCCGCAGCCCTGGCCAGCACCCCCCGCGGGGGACGGGTCACTCGCGGGGCTGCGATGGGCGAACACGGAGCTCGAGTCCATGTGCTCCTTCTAGGGTCTCTCCCGTGCTTCTGGACTGTCAGCTGAGGCCCAGGTCCATCCCCCCGCCGGGGAGGGGCCCCCCCGGGAGCAGCAGAGCCCTGCTGTCTCCCCACTGCCCCCCTCAGCCGTGCATTTCACGACCCGCGCAGTCTGCTCCCCGCTCTGCATCTGGGGGGTCCTCTCACCCCCACACCTCGGGCCTGCACCCCAGACTTCTGCGCAGAGCCCGCCTGGGGGTCACCTACCCGCGCCTCCCGGGCACGGCAGCTGCCCCTGGCCTCTGCCCCTGAGAGCCGGGCAGGGCGGCGTCGTGAAGAAAACCGTCTCGGGCTTCCGGCGGCCGTCCGGCCGCCCCGGGTGGACGGTCACCTTGTATTTGCAGGAGAACAACAGGTCCCGAAGAATTAAATGGTTTTCCTGGAACGAGGGCGAGAGGTCCGTCAGCCAGTCCCCCTAGGGGCGCGGGGGGTCAGTGTCAGCCCCGAGGCCCGAGTCCATCCCGCCAGGGAGTGACCCACAGGGCAGCGGACCCCTCCTGTCTCCCCTCTGCCGTGGGCCTCAGTGCATCTGCCTGTTCTGCTCCCCGCTCTGGCTCTGTGGGGTCCTCTCGCCCCTGCATCTCGGTCCTCCACCCCAGTTTTTGTTCAGTGAATTCTGGAGTAGCTGGGGGTGCCCTGGTGGCCTGGGGGTCCCTCTCAGGAGGTCAGTGCTGCAGCCTGAGGCCAGGAAGGGACCCCAGGGCGCAGCAGACCCCTCCTGGCTCCCCGCTGCTCCCCTCAGCCGTGGGTGTCAGTGGATTTGCTTGTTCTGCTCCCCGCTCTGGCTCTGGGGAGTCCTCTCACCCCCGCACCCCAGGCCTGCACCCCCGCTTTTGTTCAGTGAATTCTGGAGTAGCTCGGGGTGCCCTGGTGGCCTGGGGATCCCTCTCAGGCGGTCAGTGCTGCAGCCTGAGGCCAGGGAGGGACCCCAGGGTGCAGCAGACCCCTCCTGGCTCCCCGCTGCCCCCTCCACCGTGGGTCTCAGTGCATCCGCCTGTCCTGCTCCCCGCTCTGTCTCTGGGGGGCCCTCTCGCCCCCGCACC